TTGATCCTGCTTTTTTTTGGGTATTTAACAAACTTCATGTCAGGACACCTTGATACCTGACTGCCAGGAAAGAAATAATCTAAGTTTTCCCACACTGTAAAGTCCCAATAAAGTATAAATTAATCATTCTCATTAAAGGCACAAATCTTCCCTTCACCATACTACAACCCTGCACACACTTTCACACCCCCCCCCCATCACCCCTTCACTAGCCTCTGATGCCTCTGAGATAAGCACACACGAGCAGACAGGCCAGCCACCAGAAGTTAAACTACTGATGTAATCTCTCTAGTAGCACTCTGCCCAAGAACATGTAACTTCAGTTTAGCCACTCCTGGCCCAGCACTGATAAGCTAATGTGAAATGAAGCAATCCATTTCCCAATGTAAACAGTTGTTTGGCTACACGGGGAACAATATAAACAAATGGATCTATTTATAAATCACCATTTATGCTTGTTGCAGAATAGGAATATTATGTTCCAGGGCAGAAGTGACAGCAAAAAGTCAAACAGCTGGTATCTTCTTCCATCAGCCTGCCCCGCTGACACTCTCTGTTGCAGTTCTATAGAAGCAACAAACACATGATGCAGGGCCTCATCTGTTTAGGAACAAGATACACTTGGTCTGGGGTGGGGGGGTGGTCAACCTCATTTTCGTACCTATGGGTTCTTACGACAGCTCAAGAAAAGTCAACGGCAACATCACTTCAGCTCAGGGCAGGAAAAGGTGAGCCTTTACCCCTACTTCTTCCACCCCTGCAACCCAAACGATCCGGTTTCTCCCCAGGCTGCACCCTCCGCTTGTACTAAGAACGCTGACTGGGGGGGCACTCCACAGACCCCTCTAGTCATTATTCCCCTCTCCCCAAAGAACGGCTACTGCCTTCCAGAGCACTGGGCTCTTCCAAGACGTTTTCGCTCGTTTATGGAAAACCCAAGAGAGAGCAGACGCGGGGCTGGGGAGCCGCAGTCATTACGCCCCCGACGCGGCGCTCCGCCGGCGGCAGCGCTTCCCGCGGGCAGCCCGCGCCTCACCGTGCCCTCCCCGCAGCCACAGCGCCCTGCCGNAGAGGCACCTCAGCAGAAAACTAAACAAACAGCAAGGTGAGAACATAACAAGCTGCACTGCTGAAAGAATACAGTGATGAATAGGTGCAGAGGCAGACTATCATGCCTGAAGGCATGGGACTCTTCAGGAGCCGATGGAGAACTGAAGGAAGGGAGAGAGAAAGGCTGAGGGACCGTGGCTCATTTAACTTCCCACATGGAAACCAAGAAGAGATATAGTTGCTCACTGAATACCCACGATGCAGGGTAAAGTACAACACTAAATGGGAGGGGAACTAGTTCAAGAAATTATTGAACCCAAGGACAGACATGCATAAACTTGCCATTTCTCACTTCTTATAAGGATTTTCTTCAAGTTTCTAAGTATCAGGAATGAAGAATGTTTCTAGCATAGCTTACAAAAAGCAGGAAAAATGCTGGTTACTTGTAAGCTGAAAGTTTATAAAAGCAATTAACTAGAGCACTGTGAGGGACAGAAGAATAATCTGATTCTTTGTATTTAAATTTCAAATCAACTAGTTAAATTAAAGAAGAAAACAATAAATCTGTAGATTTTTTTTTTAACCTCAGCTTTTTTTTTTTTGAGCAAGGGATATGAAAGACAGTATCAGACATTTTGGTCTTAAATGTTATCTCTTCTTCCCCCCTCCCATTTAGATTTTCTGCTGTAAAAAAGATGTGAAAATACAGATTTTTTTTCACTTAGTACTAAAAAATGGAACAGAAAAAAAAAGATGAAAAATATTTCAACTAGCTATATAATTAAGAAGTACTTCTTTATATTAAGATATGTTACTCAAGCAGAGCATACATATTGTTATATTAAATCTTCAATACTTAAACAAGGGTATGATTATGTTTTCACAAGAGGTTTTTCCTGTAATCAAAAAGAGCCAAGTAAGAACATCACTAGACTTCAATAACTAAGCCAAGAACAGGAGTTTTAAAGAAAAGGAGGGAAAAAAATTGTACAGTCTGCTAGTCAGTAAGTATATGACTTTTTGGTACTATTTCCAGAAAATGAATGGGTGCAAAAGAGGCATTGCTTGGAAAAATGGAAAACTACCAACGACAAGTCACAAGCTAGGGCAAATAAAAATCCTAAAAATGCCATTATTTCTGCATATAGCCATGTATCAGAGCAAGCATAATGCAGAACTTGCAGCTCTAGAGATATTCGCAGGATGACCTTTTCCAAACTAAAGAGAAATAGATAGGTTTTCATTATTTAAATGTAAGACCTGCTGCCTTCTAAAATACCTGAAGATAAATATGTGCTCTGGTTTTTTTTGACTGGAGATACATTTACCAATTATATCAATTATTTTCTATGGAGTACATACAGAACTGTAGCTATCTTAAAAAGGAAATCACTTTATTATATCATCCCCTTATTTGGAGTATGAAGTATATAAGACACATGGAGTACACAGAAAATGGAAGTATTAAATCAAAAACCACATATAAAAACAAAACAGGCTCTGTTACAGAGATGAAGATATATTTTTAGATGTGTTTTATATGTGTATATATATATATATGCACGTATATATGTTATGCAGAGATTTAAAAATGAAAGTTTAGTGAGGCCATTTTAGGTGGTACCATTAAACTGTGCTTTGAGGATTGCTATCAGACAAGTCTCTGTGACTTGGTTTTTACTAGGAAGCTAATTAGAGTGGAGATTCAGTTGTTTTCCTACATTTCTTTGGTGAATGAACCAACCCTTTTCATGTTAGAGCCCCATAATTAAAAGCAAACTTTGACAAATTCCCTCATCTTACACGACCCCAGGCTATGTGGCTTCCACTTTTATGGGAAACCACAAGAGCAACTCCAAAGACTGTAAAACCCATCTCTCAGGCATATTTTTCTCCTCCCACGGCTTCTGTTAGCATCAGAGTCCTATAAAAGCATGGCTGTATTGAAAACTGCATCTGTCTATGCCATGGACAAGCGTTATTAAGACAGGCAAGGCAAACACCTACCACAACAAACTCTCCTTTGTCAGTCACACGGATCCCATGAGAAAGCACCAACCAGTCTACAATTTTGGTAGTGTTAGACAAATCTGAAAGACAAAAGATAAGATTGATTACATAGATTTATAGATTAGATAATAACACTTTATTTCAAGTGACTGTATAAAACCAGAACTAAGAGTTCCACTTTGCCAAGCAGCTTTTAAAATTATGTGATAGCACAGTCTTAGCAGACAAAATTTCATGGTGGACTTGGCAGTACTGGGTTAACAGCTGGACTTGACAGTCTTAGAGGTCTTTTCCAACTAAACAATTTTATGATTCTATGAATTCAGAAAACAGCAACTGGCAAGAGTCCTACTTTCACTGCAAGCCATTTCCCATTTTTCTAATTTATCCAATAGTGTTTTTTCTCAGAAATAAACCATCAGCTGAGTTCCTTTCCAACAAATACTCAAAAACCTTATTTACTCAAACCAAACATGTAGATCTTAAACATAAAACATGTCTTTTGTTGCCAAATATTAAAAAAAAAAAGCAGCTTGGAATAAGTTTATAGCCAAACATACAAAATTCCCATCTTCCTTATTATGTTATTTAAAAATATTCGTAATTATTGAAGGATGCTTTAATGTTTAAAAATCCTAAAATCCTAAAACTAAGTGTTTAATTCCTGCAACATTCTCATCCTCCACTGATTTCCATTTAGAGGGAGATGTGATATGGGAAAAATATCTACCAAACTTCTAGAAAAAACAAACAGTAACTACTGTTACTCAGGCAACCAATGCTCAAAAAAAAGCTCAGATATATGTACTCCAAAATTCTAGGCGACTGAACAGTTTATTCAGCCAACAGCTGTGTCACCAAAACAAGGTTCACCCCTCACTTCTTTAAAACAAATCTTGCTTGAAAATTAGGAAAACTGACAAAAATTGTTATTGTCCTCTTCCTAAATTATTTTGACCTTTCAGGAANCTGCGGCGGGCAGGAGGCTCAGCACGGACCGCACGGAGCGGGAGCTGGCTGGGGGATCGACCCGGCGGGGCTGAGCCCCGGGCAGTGACACAGCCCTGCAGCCACCCCGGGCAGTGACACAGCCCTGCAGCCACCCCGGGGTGTGACACAGCCCTGCAGCCACCCCGGGGCCACACACAGCCCTGCAGCCACCCCGGGCAGTGACACAGCCCTGCAGCCTCCCCGGGCAGTGACACAGCCCTGCAGCCGCCCCGGGGTGTGACACAGCCCTGCAGCCACCCCGGGCAGTGACACAGCCCTGCAGCCACCCCGGGACCACACACAGCCCTGCAGCCACCCCGGGAGTGACACAGCCCTGCAGCCGCCCCGGGGCCACACACACAGCGCGGCAGGCACGGGACACACGGCGTCTCACTGCGGCTCTGGGCACCCTCGCACCACCGCAGTGTGCGGGGGGAATGGCAAAGGGGGGGTAAAAAGCGAAGCATCCTCTCACACGCAGCCAAATACTGTGAAAAGCTCAATGGGAGGTTGTCTAGTAGGAGAGTTTAGACCGAGCCTGAAGATGGAAGATGAGCTTGAGAAGCTGCTTGTGTTCAGTCTTCTAAATAGACTGCTTTTTCTCTCTTATTTACCATAACAGAAGATAATCTTATTTTTGTCCTCGGATATTTATGGATAGCTGTGCCTTTCGTGTCGGCTGTCATCTGAACAGCACAAGGTATTTGAACTGTCTTCTCCCGGCACAGGCCAGTCCACTCAGGCTTGGAACAAGTGCCTTTCATCACGAGGAGAATCACCAGCATTGTTCTCCATTTCGGCCTAGATGCTGCCCTTGGCACCGTGCAAGCAGCCCCCCCGCTAAATACAGACTAAATGTATCCAGAATTACACATCTCTTGTGAATGCAGCCACACATTCTGCTAGTATGGCTTATATCACAGAAAAAAAAAAAAAAAAGTACAGACGAATTTAGGAAAATACCAACATTTATTGAAAGGTGCAACGTACTCATTAAATACTTAGCATTAATTATATTACACTATAACTCCAAAATTCATTATTTGTAACATTCAAATATATCAGCATCCTACATGCTGAAAAAGAGGGCATCCTAAAGTGCATCTTAAGTGACAATTTTATTCATTACCCACAGTATAGTCACAATTTTATCAGAAGTCATCTTCCCAAACACTCATTCTCTAAATTTTTTTTCCAAATAGAAACAATTGTAAAATGTTAGTAGAATGCAGTGTCAGTTCCTTCCCAGTCCAGCGTCTCTAGCAAGTGCTGAGCTGCAATACCATGATATGATACGATACACAAAGATACAATTAAGCATATCTGTGCTTATAAAACTTAAATTTAATCCTAACTTTTCAGGATCACGGCATACCTGTGATCACTAAACCTGGGAGTAATCCTATTGAATTCAGTTTATTTTTCTAGTGCCATACTGAAGGGTAGCCCCTACCATATAATGAAAACCTAAAGTCCACTTTTGGTCCAATATGAACTGTGCTTATAATTTTTAAATTTTTTTTAAGTTTACTAGATTAAGCAACTGTACCCAATTTTTTTCTGTTTTACACAATAATAAATTTTGCATATAAAAATGCCAATAGCTCTTCATTAACTTAAATGACTCTCAAACTGTGAATGTGAGATTCTTCATTTCCAATGTATACAAACTCATATATCCATTGAAAAAGAGTATCACACAGAGCAGAAACTTTTTACAAATTATGTATGTTAACATTATGTTAATTATGTTAACTATGTATGTATAACGAGGTGATGTGAAATCCCTAACATTTTAAGAAAGTAAGAACATAGAACCTTCTTACAAAAACCATCCTAAATGTCTGTGCATTATTTACTGGATTTTGACATTTTCAGCTCCTTGTTTCTCTTGCAGCTTCCTCTGTAGGCACAGAGGAAGCAAAAGAATAGCCATTTACAGGGTAAAATGCAAAGCAAAGAATGGCAGGATTTCTGGATCTGAACAGGAGTTTGTGTACCTCATATCTGTGTGCTGTGCTACAGCTGGCATTTTCTGCAGAAGCTGCAGGGTGGTAGATTTTTTGGTACATTGATGCACTGTATCTTTCCCCATGCTGGGACTGAGCCAGCAGCAAAGAAAAATGCTTCTTTTCTATCAGTGTGGTGTAGGTACTGAGGAAGAGACTAGATTTAATATTTGAGCAGGGGAAGTCAAACCCCAGTTACATAAATTTGCATTGCCCATAGAGCCAAGGAGAACTCCAGCCAAGGTCAGTGAAATAGCTGCCAAAAGACAGTGGGGTTACTGTGTGGGGGACACATTTTAAATGTCACTTAGTGTTAATACAAGAAAAAAAAAATACTGAAATGTCTGTGTCTAGGAAATGTTGTGATTGCAAAATGCAAAATACAGAGGGACAAAAGAGCACAACTGAGTATATTTACAGTTAGGATAGCAAAGATAGAAACCGAGGGAATTATAAATGGAAACATTCTCACATTGTATTCAGAGGAGCGCTTTCCTTTACACAGAAGTAACAGCTCCAACTTAAGCATTTTCCCCCTTCAGCTTGGAAGATGCATTAGGTGAATGCAAAACATTTATTTCAAAAGCTTCTTAAAAAAATCAACTAGCATTTTCAAAAAAATGAAAGGAGGTGTAATTTTCTCTGTGTGGTACATTAATGCATGCTGGCTCCCAACAGCTGCAAATATTTAAATGTGTGAGACAGTCCAGACATTGAGTTCAGTGGACAGGATGAATGAGTAGTGCCATCTCACTTCTGCTCTGTGCAATGCCTATCCCCATGCCCTTCACACAGGGGGAGGATGGGATTAGCTAAATTTGAAATAAATTTGAAAACCTGCAATTATAAGCCATAACAGTTGCCAGAAAACCAAAAATGAGGGCAGCACATTAGATTATTTTTCAGGTTTTGGGGATTTTTTTTTTTTTTTCTATTTTATATTGGTACTACCTGTTCTTAAAATCAAAGGTAGCTCTCACAAAACCAAATTTGTTCCATTTAATGTCTGCAGGTTTGTAACCAGCAAGCAAATTAGTTACTGACACAAGCAACATTTAAAACAAGGTTGCTTGATATATGAACTTTGTTGTTTGTAGTGCCATGGCTTAGCAAAATAAAAAGCTACTATGCAACAGAAGATACATGTTAGGTTGTTCTACATAGTATTAATTAGTTTTGGAAGGAATCTTCTTCAAACTGTATGCCCACAATTCAAAAATAGTTTAAAATAGTAAATCAATATTTGCAGCAGAATGGAAATAGATATAGTAATAAAGCGAAAACAATGTTTCACTGTAAATATTTGTTAGAACTAAGGACATTGCCAGTGTGCAAAATGATGTTGTTTATCATTAGGTAAAATGTATCTCTAGGTTTTAGGATGAACGAATACAATATTTTTTCATGACTAAAAATATGTTTTCACAGAAAATTACATCCCCCAACATTTTTGCAAATATGTATGTATACAGAGGAGAGGGAGAAGATGCTGTTACAGTTCAGTCTTAAAGAAGAAAAATTGCCGATTTTTTCACCTTGATTTCTTTTTAAAAACATTTTATTTAATGATTCCTAGATTCTGACCTTCTATTACTCCTGAAAAAAGCAGAGTGGTTCCAGAGGCCTGCCAGCTAGCCCTCCAGTGATCTACCCAGGAACTGCAATCCATCTTTTCCTGAGAATCAGCAGAATGCCTTCCCTACTAAGAATTTTGACTTCTCCATCATTACAGCTGTTTAGGATGAATTAGAGATTAGGATGTTTTTTGGTTTGTTATCTGGCATGCACATTCATGTAGTATTTTATAAAAACAGTTTTCCTTAAAGTTCTTGGTGCCATAGACTAGAAAGTTTATTTCAGAGATGTGTTCATGTGAAAGCTCTGAAAATATTTGGTCATGCTCAAGAAAATAATAGACAATGTAACCTGCACTTAAAAAAACACGTAACATATTCATATGTTCACATGTCAAAAACACATATTCATATTCATATGTTCCTAACACATAGAGTTATACTGAACATCAGTCTGTGTAAAATACCAAGTGTAGTTAAAAGCTTTGGATACAAGTATACACTCACCTATAAATATACACCTATTTTTACAGAATGCACTGCCCTAACTCAGTATATTGAGTCACCAGTCCAGTTTCATATCAGCTTTACTCCACACATACTTTCCTCCTCTTTTTAGGAACATCTTCTCATCAAATCCACTGAATTTTATAGCTGCTTCTACACCAACATCCAGGATCGATTTGGAAGGTTCTTTCCGTCCATTTCTACAGTTTAGAAAACGCATCTGGAATGTAAGATAGATAAGATTACAAGAAAGCCAATTTGCAAAAACTTAATTTTTCTGCAGACTTAAGCAAGTTTTGTGCAATTGCACTGCAATTCCACAAAAGCCTATGTAAGTGCATGAAGAGGTTCACTCTAGTCCTTAGAAGGCTCAGAAGATCATGGTTAGACATGTGACATAGCAGGAACTTTGTTCTTAGCAGGAACAAAGCAAGATCATAATTGAAGATTGAACATTGGCTCTTCAGCCATGTACTCTAAGTGGGCACTCTGAAGCTTAACTTTCAGGGCAAGTTCTGTATTTTTATATTAAAGAAAAAAATGAAGCAAAGATGTCCTGCAAAACTAGACATCTACACTTTAAGATTTGTGATGAAAGGATTATGCATGCAAGCTGATGGCAACTTCTCCTTAGGTCATACTATATTATAATTCACAATATGTCTGATGGGAATTACATCTGTTCCTTGTACTACATGGTAAAATTATTTTATGGAATGCAGAGTAAATTAAACTGGTTATCACTGTTGTATACATACATATATTAGCATACAAATACTATGTATCAAAAAATACTTACATATTCATCCAGAATGAGGTATGAATCCCTCATCTGTAATAAATCAAAAGAAAAAACTAAATTAATGTACAAATCAAAATTCCATTTTACTAAAAAATAAGGGACAAAAACAACTATTCATTCAAAGTCTAATACAAATCTTTGAAACAGTTGCTGTATCACCAGTATTTCAGTGATCTTGGATGAAATTTATAGAAATAAATGACAGAACTACTAAAATAACTTTATGTATTAATAAACCAGTCATTCCTGGAATATGACCATTCCAATGTCTAATTGAAATGTGAGTTCCCATCTGAAAAAAAGTATTTTAAATAATATCAAAGCTTTCTATTGACTTCTACAGCAGAAGAACTTAGAGTTTTGCATGCTGGAATGATTATGCCATTTTCCAAACCAATGACATGGATATTTAAACTGGGCTGTTTAATTATTACCCCACCAAACAAAGGTGTTCTCCCAGCTCAAAGGTAAAAAAAAAAAACTCAGGTCTGCACAGAGAAATATGCCAACAGCTGAAAAAAACCAGGTTTGCTTAGCCAAATGGGCACGCCCTAAACTCTCCTTAAAATTCTCTGGGTATTCTCTGGGTAATTCTCTGGTAAGCTGGAGCTTGCTACTGTGTAGAACAGGTGTCTGCCTTTCACACAGGTTTAACAGAAATCAGAAACAGCCTTCTGGAACCAAACCTACCATGGGAAGCCAAAAAAAAATAAATGTAGAAACAGTTCTGGGTTCTCCTCTTAACCCTTTGTCTGATGAGTTCTCCCTCCCACCAAATGCCTTAAATGCTAACTGCGCAGCCCCACTTTTATGTCTTACATAGGAAAGGCAACCCAGTCTGCTCACTTGGCCTCTACATACATTAAGAAGTGAACTGTAAATGGAGTCCTTATCTGTGGAGAGGAAAAGGAGCACAACATAGGAGATTTAAGGCATTCCTGAACTTGGTTCAATCCGCTGTTTCTTCACTTAGTTCAGAAACCTCCCTATTGGTGAGCCTTCTAACTCTCCCCATTCCTTGCTTAGGGTCTGTAGGCATTTACAAAACAGCCTGAGCTCCACCCTTAGGCAGCAAAGTCCTTTAGTGTGGTTAATGTAAGCTAGATGGCAGCTGAACAAGTTAATTGGTATGCTCTGCAGGAGCACAAGGAATCTTCTCCCAAATAAAGAGCCTGAGCCTGCAATCCAAAGGAGTTCAGACAGAAAATATTAAAAATGCAACTTTATTGTGAGAGGAATTACCCAGAAATAGTGTTAGTTGGCCAATAAAAGGCTGTTTGGGATGCTGTCTTATTCATGTAGGTTGATAATGCTGGCATAATGTGACATCACAGTCAATCTCTATTAGAAAACTATACTTAGACTATAAAGTGTGTTTACATTAACTTTGAACCTTTTCAGGATCTTGTGTCCAAGTCAGGAAGAATACTCCCACTGGAGTCCACAGGATTGGGAACAATGAGTTTTAACTCTTCTGCTAATACGAAAAATTTATTGCTTTATTGTCAATGGAAAGCCTTAAAGAAAAGCCTTAAAGTAAATTAAAATCTTGGCTTCCACCATAACAAAACCAGTTGCTAATAAAGTTGTACTGCACCTCTTCTAAGCCACTATTAATAGGGAAAATATTAATCACCGTGAAAGTTTCTTGTTTCTTTCAAATATTCTAGCATTATTTAAAAATAAAGTTACAAAGAGACAGTTTAATTTTTACCTTCTGATTAGATTCAGGTACCAAACAGGAGACATCTTTGTGGCGATCCAGGAATCGATCAAAGTCTTCATCACTGATAACAAATTTTTCTGCTTCCCTTAGAGCATCCTCACCACTGTTCTCTCCTTCGATAAGCAGGCACTGGAATACCTGAACAAAGGAAGCACCTGGTTAAGACTTTATGTTCTCACTTGCCTTGAAGAATAAGAAACTTCAGTCTCAGTAGCAATGTCTTTAATTTTTCTGCCAATGGAGCCAAAATGACACATCTTGTGATAACTGAATATTCCACAAAGGTCAGGGTGCAGATTTATTTTTTGTAAATTAATATTAGAGTTCTAAATGTTATAAACTATGATTTTCCTTACTATCTGAGATTTCACTTACAGATTTTTTGGCAGTTTGTTTATTTTTTTCTGAATAATTCTGTGTGTATAACAATATCCATGAGGCAAATTATGAGAAATAATTCCTATATTTCTGTTACATTATCTCTACCCATTTTCAAATTTATTTCTAGTAAAAAGATCATGCTATGTATACACTAACCTCTAATACTCTATAAGAGAAAATTAATATACACTTATATCTTGCTAACAATAATGATTTCAATATATCAGTGTTCAGTAATTTTTCCTGATTTTCTCTACACCATAACATATTTTCACAAGTTAAAGTGTTTTAAAAATTAACTAACTTTCTGTGTTAATTTTAATATACTAAAACAACCTAGATCTACACACACTGAAATAATAATTTTCTGTACATAACACAATCAAAAAAAGATTCTTGACCTACTGGACTCCATTTAAGTGCAAAATTATATAGAACCTATCTCAGCAGCATGCAGCATTGACAAGAAGGCTCCTAACACTGGAGCTGGAGATAAGACTCAGGTCAACAGAGGTTCTGACAACTCCAGGACTTTATTTTTACTTTTCTTTCATCAAGAAACATGTGGTATATACTACTTTCTTACCTTCCAGCGCACAGGGTTGAGTGCCTTGATCTGCTCATTCATATCTTCCTCCACATTAAATCTGTTGATGACTGAATTTATTTTAAAAGCAACAGCATACTCTCGGCACCACTGTCTCAGTTTATGCAGATTTTCCACATGGTTCTTCTTTCCTTGACGACGGCCAATTAAAACGTTGACATCCTCATCAAAACTATCACATGAAATTGCCAGAATATCTAAATATTCGCCTAAAAATAAGTTTTAAAAATTAATATCCAGTCCATCAACTAAAAGCTGCTCACTCTCACTTCCTTGTCATCTGTCACAAAATGTCATGTAAATGCAGTTCTGTGGAGTCATCTGATCAGCCACAAAAGCCACATCAACAGCAGCATCAAAACACGTAGCTTGTGTGTGTTTGTCCCCACCATTATGGAGACAGGCGGAATTATTGCTTTATTACACCATTATACCAAAGAGCTTTTTTTGTATAACGCCTATGTTCACAACAGATAATCAACACTGTTTCACTGATATTTATATTTGGTTTGCATTTTATAAGAGAACCACTATGAAACCATCTCCCACCCGCCCCCAAGCCCACCCATGGGTGAGGCTTCCCCACGGAGGCTCCCCAGCCCTGCCAGTGCAGCTGCGCCCAGCGGTCCCTCCTTACCGTACTTCTCGAACCACAGCTTTCTGATCAGACTGCCATTGCTAACGATGCTGACACTTGGGAGCTCCAACTCCTGCTTGCAAAACTGGACCAGTTTGCCCACAAATTCGCCTCTGTCCTGAAGAAATGGTTCTCCTCCTGAGAAATTGATTTTCTCCATTCCTAGTGAAGGACCAAAGAAGGATGCTATGAACCTCTGCTGCCCACTGCCTGCTCCTCCTGCTCAATGCTATCAGTGTCCCATGGCAGTGGGACAAGGGACATTCCCTGGTGTCACAGTGAAGGGGGCTGCAACAAACCTTTAAATCTGATTTCAGGGCAGAGGGTGGCAGAAAAATAAATAGGAGTAGGAACAATGGTTGGCACTAGGAAAATAACACCTTAATAAGGAATAAAAGGAAATAGGGACAATGCCCCAAAGCCAAACAGTAACCAGGGAGAGCTCCGTGGGGGTGACCAACCAAAGACAAGAACAAAGGAAGGCACAATGATATATAACCTTAGGGAATGAACATTCTAGTAGCCTGACCATATAGGGAACAACATTACCCAGTCCGTAACTGACACGTAACTTATTTAACACAATAACAGAGGGGTATCTTGGGAAAAAGTTTCAACTCAAACGAAACATTCCCACGGCTTCATATAGATAGGTGATTCTTCAGAGGCAATAGTCGGCTGGCTCGTGGTCTCCAGCTAGGCTGAACTCTATACTTCCATACCCAGGATAGCTTTTTCGACGGCACTTAGTCCAGCGGGGTCCCCCTTCCCCGGTTCCCTCCCGCCCTACCTCCCCTGGACTCACCTGCTTCCTTGAGCATCGCCAGCCCCCGCTTGGCCTCCTCCAGGGGCAGCACGAAGGAGGTCTTGGCCGTGTGGAAGCAGAAGCCGCACTTGTAGTTGTACTGCCGGGTGAAGTGGTAATTGAC